TATTTGTTAACTTTTGTTTCATGTAAAGAATAAAATATAAAAAGAAATCCCAGCAAAAACATTGACGATAGTAGATATTATTAACATTACAATTTATTACAATATACTAAAAATAACTGAACATAGTTAAGATATTACTATGTCGCGGTTAGGGTTACATCGTTCGTCTTTAGGCCCCATTCAGGATGTTAATGTTGCCAGCACTCAAAACTCTTTGAGTTCAGCAAAAGACAGGGGGCATAAAACCAAAGGTTTGAGATTGTTTTTAATATGATAATCCGTTTAAAAAAGTCCTTTCCAAAAGTTTTGGCCACATTTTTTTTTTTAATTGAGATTATTTTATTATTATTTTTTATTTACTTGAATTAGGACAATGCAAATAACATATTAGCTTCAAGCTTCAATGTAAATATGCCATAATTAGCACCACAGCTAATTTGCATTTGCTGTGCTAAGGCAGGTAAACTCAGTTAACATTAAACAAGGCGCTACAGGAGAGAACAAGATAGACATGAATAAGCAAAGAAAGAGAATTACAATAACTTAAAATCCCAGTACTGTATGAGTCAGCGAACAGACCTAAGGACGTTGATACATTTACTTGTGAACACATTTCATGTTATTTTAAATACTGAGACAAATTTATCTCAATATTGTAGTTAACTAAATTATTTTAATACACCTCAGGTAGTAAGAAAATAGTTGAAGTAGCCCTTTAGCCATTTCCCAAATCAAAATCTGAAATCAGAAGTCCAGCTCTGGTCTGTCATCATTCAGTTAAATGCACCAAATAATTGAAACCGCGACAGCTGTTTACCACATACCTTCTGGTTGTTTGAAAATCTGCTTTAAAATAGGAAGACTGTCTTTGAAGTTTGTAGACAATAAATTAAAACACTGATCCTGGTACCAGCTATGCAGCGCCGGGTCATCATTGAGGAACTGTTTTACCCAGTCATAGTACAGCTTCATAGTCTTGTTGGCGCCGTCGCAGCAGGCAACAGGAATATCATCGACCGTCACAAGAATCTCAAACTCTGAGAAGAACGTGAGACCAGTGGAGCTGGTGAAGAAAAACTTCATTGAGTGTTTTTCTGTGGAGAAATTAAGTGACAGAAAATGACTCAAAATATTCACAATTACTCACATACAAATTTCTAAATAAATTAATCAAAAAACCCTGAGGTGTGAAAGTTGTACATTTATCTATAAATATAAGAGTCGAAGTCTGGTCTTACCTGCTGATAAAAACTGACAGAAGAAATATAACAACAACAACAACTTCATTTTGTTTCTCTCATCATAACAGCTTCTCGCTGTCAAAACTAGAATGTGTCTGTGAACAAGTGGAGCTGCTGCATTTGTTCCTGTGGGTGTGTTCAGTGCAAGCTCTAATTCATAGGTGTAAAGTTCCTGAATATTCTGCGAATTGGATCATCTAATCAGGAAGATATACAAATTTCATTTCTTATTTTATTTAATAATTTATAGGGAGAAATAGTAGTAATAATAATAGAATAATAGTAGATATTAAAAGTTGATTTTTGCATTGTGTTTTAACTGATAAGAAATTACCTCTGAGTTTCAATGGCATTCAATAATTATGAAGGTTAGGCCTACTTTCATGTCTTTCCATGTCACAACCTAAAGCTTTGCTGCTGATATGTACAATCTGAATGTAGATAAAATGAACTCATATTGGCAGAGGTAAATATGCTCTACCTTTACATCTGTCTGCAGCTCTTGTTTCAGCATCAAACTTCCACATAACAAACTGGGGTAAACAATGATATTAGGTGCATGGAGGTAAAATAGGCAAAGACACTAAAGGTGCTGAACAGGCAGTGGAACTTTACCTTTTAATGTCTAAAGTTCATTCATTTGATCATGACTTCCTCATACCATCAAAGCAGCAGGATAAACAGGCTTGTCTTTAAGACAACAGCTGTGATACATAAGAAATATAAAAAAGCATTGATGTTTCTTTTTTTTTTACATTTTCATTGATATAAATTGAAAATAGTTTATTTAGTCATAAAATATTTTTTTCTTTAGTCAGGTGCTATATTTTATCTGGTACACAAGTTAGTTATTACTCTTGAGAGGCTGTGGTTGTCATAGCACCAGGTAGCTGATCCCTTTCCTGTGGATACCTGTCTGTAACTGTGGGACAGAAGCTGTTAGACCTTTGTTAAACACTGACCGAAAACAATGCCAAAGATTGCTTGTAACTGTGAATTAAAGGAGAGATAGCAAGACTGGATAAACTGCAAAGATGCTCCAGATACTAACATATACAAGGTTTCATCCCCTTTCCTACTATTTCCATTTAGGATCCCCCATTCTCAAATATGCTTTTCTTTTACCTTTAACTTTTAAAGAAGGTTTTAAAGAAAGTGACAGCAGTTCGCTTCAATCAGAGACTGTGGGTCTCCCCACAGTCTAAAAACACAATTGTTGATATATCTGGATGTTCCTTTTACACAGAGTGTATACAAAATAGAATGTCCTTTTCAACAGCTCTCAAGACATTTCCTTTTCTAAATGCAGCAGTAATCAAATGTAAACAGTGTGGGTTCAAGGTGCCAGAGTCTGGAGGAAGACTAGGGAGAAGGAAATGCCAAAATGCCAGAAGTCCAGTGTCAAGTGCCCACAGTCAGTGATGGTCTGGGATGCCATGTCAGCTGCTGATGTTGGTCCACTGTGTTTTATCAAGGGCAGGGTCAATGCAGCTAGCAGGAGATTTTGGAGCACTTTATGCTTCCATCCGCTGAAAAGATTTATGGAGATGAACATTTCTTTTTTCAGCATGACCTGGCACCTGCTCACAGTGCCAAAACCACTGGTAAATGGTTTACTGACCATGGTATCACTGTGCTAACTCTCCTGATCTGAACCCCATAGAGAATCTATGGGATATTGTGAGGAGAAAGTTGAGAGACGCAAGACCCAGCACTCTGGATGAGCAAAAGGCCGCTAGGGCCTCCATAAAGCGTCAGCAGTGCCACAGGCTGATTGTCTCCATGCCACGTCACATTGAAGCACTCCATCCATCCATCTTCTAACACGCTAAATCCTAGGTGGGGTCGCGAGGGGTGCTGGTACCTATCTCCAGCTATCAATGGGCGAGAGGCGGGGTACATCCTGGACAGGTCGCAAGTCCATCACAGCATTGAAGCAGTCATTTCTGCAAAATGACCGACCAAGTATTGAGTGCATAACTGTATATAATCATTTGAAGGTTGACTTTTTTTGTATTAGGAACACTTTTTTTTTTATTGGTCGGAGGAAATATGCTAATTTTGTGAGATAGCAATATTGGGGAATTTTGGACTTTTATTGTGGGAATCGTCTGTATTAAAACAATAAAAGACCTGAAATATTTCATTTAGTCTGCAATGATTTCTAAAATATATGAATATTCAAGTTTTATCATTACATTATGGAAGACAATAAAGTTTATCACAATATGCTAATATTTTTAGAAGGACCTGCATATGAGAGAGAAGAATAAAGCAAGGGAGAGCACAGAAAGAATCTGTATTGTTTTTTTTTTTTTTTTGTGTTGGCTTTACGGGCCCAAAAATATCAATAATATCTTACGACAAACAATGAATTGATGCTAAAAACATTTCACTGACATTTATTTTATATGAGTTACTTTTTATATACATTAGAACAATAAAAAAAGAAAGAGAAGACATGTTTACACCAAATGGTGCGCTAAAAAATAATCCTTTAAAAAAAAATCACATAAATCAAATTGATGTACGTTTATTTTAAAATACCGATAGGATACCCTGCGACAAACTGGCGACCAGTCCAGGGTGTAACCCGCCTTAGGCCCGTAGACTGCCAGAGATAGGCACTGGCCCCACCACAACCCATACAAGGACTAAGTGTGAGAAAATGGATGGATGGATAACAGGATACCACCCATTGAATCCTTATTCTCTGTATTTGCCTTTATAAAGTTACAATAGCAGATTCTTGTACCTTCTCTCTGCAGACCTCTTTGAGCCAAAAATTCCTTCAGCCTTTAAGGGCAAATCTTGGTCAGAAAATTCTTTATGTCTTAAACAGTAATCTGATTGGAATCCAATGCTGACAAGAAAGCTTCTGACATTGGATTTTGAACATTAATTGCTAAGAGTTTCAGATCCAGTTTGATAGTGTTCTCCATTATAACCAATATGGTGAAAAGCTACAACATCTCCTGTGGTTTCAGACCATTCACAGCCACTCCTTAACTGTAAAATATGAACTACTCAGAAAGACAACAGAGATTAATGAGTTTGATAATGTTGTTGGCGTGTGTAAATAAAATATTAAAATATGTCAAATACAGTATAGCACCTTCATTTTGGTCTGCCATGATTTGATATTTTCTTCAGAATTTAGGTCTGAGTATCAGTCACATTTTTCCACAAATTGAGGCTGCTTTTTACTGTGATAGTAATCCACTTGAATTTTATCAATTGCTGTTGTCATTAGATAGTCTGGCAAGTCTGTGATTCCAGCATATGCAGTGGTATAAAAGGAAAATGAGTGTTTTACTGAGGATGGTACACAACAGCAAATAGCAACACATTGACACTAATTTACACATCAGATTCACAAAATAAACAAAATGATGCCTAAAAATGCTTGTTTTCTTAATAAGGGACATTAACCTACCTGATGAGGATACATGGCAGAAAAAAAGCATCAATAACGTTTTCATATTGTGTATAAAGACAGATTTTCAGGGAATCAGTTTGCCAAGTTTTATTTTTAGATAAGCTATATCCCTAAATTGTAAAACATAAATGCTACATTTAAATTTCAGTAGTTATTAGTTAGAGATGCCAAATTCAGAAAATATATTTATGCTGGCAGAATTCAGTAGGGAATAAGAGAATAAAAAGTGTCATGTAAGGCTCATAACAATCTGTGTTTGTAACTCCTTAGAGAAAGGGGTGTGCAGCTGAAAGAGAGGCAGTGTGAGAAACCAGATCAGGCATTGAAAGTTTGCCTTTGATCAGCAAATACATATTGCAGAAATCAAGACTGGTCAAGTTAATCTATCCTCTCCAAAGCCAAACTGGTTTATTCATTACATGAAAAAAAAAATCCTAAAAACCCAAAACAACCAAAAATAAATAACATATGTATTAATTTAAAAGTACAGAGAAAAAAAACACTTGTTTCTGCTAAAAAAAAATAACTGACAAACTGGAACATTTCCCTAAGTGAGTTTTGGATCTTTCTAGCAGCTCCCTGCTGGTTTGAGTCTACAGAGGAGGCTTCCTAATTATCCAGTTTTTATAGTGAGGACCAAGAGGTTTACTTCAAGATGCAAACCAGACAGCAGGAGTGAGTCAGAGCTCCTCAAATGTCAAGAATAAGTTCTGGCACCTGATAAAAGAAGTTAATTTTGGTATCTTGGTTTTCGGTCATGATCCTTATCTCTTCAGCATAGGTGAGGGTCAGAATGTAGACGGGCCAGTATCGCAAGGCAAGGCAAGTATCTTTTTTTTTATTTTAGTAACAAGACAATTCACAGTACTGTTCATAACAAAAACACAGAACAAAAATGAATTAAGTGATGAAGTACATGTTTTGCATTTTGGCTCTTTCTACAACCTATATACGCATAAATCAAGAGTTGGAAGCCAGCCAGTCATACATGGTGCTAGCATAATATTTAATGCCTCCTTAAAGCAATAGTACACCCAAAACATGATTAGCCTTCATTTTCTACTCACCCCCATGCTGAACAACACTCTGGAGTACTTTTTTGATATCTCAAA